CTCACAGATTCCGGACAGTAAAAAAACACATTTAAAGTGACACATCTTTTCATAATATAGATAAGAATTTTTTATACAAAACGTTTCACATAAAACTTCCCAGCCTTTTTCACAAAAGCACAAAAAATTATATTCTATAAATAAATTTCTAAAATTCATGGTAGTTTAAGATACCGTATGGTCAAATTTGAGATACTTGGTACTCATAGTAAAGCTTGAAAAATAAATTGTATTACTGTTTCAATCAATAAAACTAAAATGTTTAGAAAATATTTAAAACCATTATAAATAGCTTTACGATTAGTGTGCTAAACCAACGAATCATTTCTATTATCATAAATACCGAACATACAACGCAACTTACATTAGTAGATGTTTCTATATAAGATTTAATGCTGTAAAGATAACAGTTAGAAAAATTTAGAATTATATGAAATGTTACACAACTGATCAAAAATGAACGTACGGTTTTCTTCAACGTATCATTACTAGAGATCGGAAGTATTAGGACGGTTGCAATGTGGTACGAGGTTGGCTGGTATGCAAGAATCAATGAATTAGACTAGAAATCAGACTAGACATAAATGCGATAAGAAAATACTAGAATATGCTAGACGTAGGAGCTGAAATAAATGTAGTACGTGAAATATTTTGTTAATTTTAATTTGTATTTTTCACTTTTAACAAAAACTTCTTATTTCTTATGAACTGCAAATACCTACAATTTAAAATATCTTATATTTAAAATTTGCCTTGAAATCGATATGACCCTGTAAATATACATAATAATAATCTTGTAATAAAATTAACACTGGAATGGATAGATTTTGTTGTACACTAAAATTCTTTGAATATGAGATCTGCTAATATCTATGTTTTCTGACCTTTTCCTGAGTGACATCTTCGGATTGTCTTACTAGTTCATAATTACAACAGTAGCAGCATCGTTATTATTGTATTCTTTTTTTATCTTTTTAATATTCTTTACATCACCATTGGTATCGAATTTTATGATTAAGTGCTTGCGAACTGCTCTACGAGTTACCTTACATTTTGATACTTTTCATTAAAAATTTGTATTGCATATCGATATGAAACATTACCGATTACATAACATTTCACAAGATAAATTCGTTGCTCCGGGGTTAGCATTATTAATAAAAATTATTCGGTGAACAGTTAATAAAAATAAATATGTTAACTTTGACATTGATAAGGAAATATCCATGGTAATTATATGTTATGTAAGATAATAAAAAATTGCGTATTTAAGCATTTCTTGAGTTCTCGAACAACTTTATTAAATACAGTTTTTAACGAAAACAAAAATTAAGGGATTTTGCTCGGGCAAAATTTCACAATTTGTAATTTTTTAACACCCTGTATATTTTATCAGATATTTGATTACTGCCCATGTCTTCCCATGATAAGTAAAACGTTTTATCAAGAATAACAAATAATGAAAAATCAACAATAAAAAAGTTTACAAGAGTGCGGGACCCCATTAGGGGACACACTGTATATTTACAACACAACTACAAGTATATGAATTGAACATCTGACTACAATTAGTACAATTATACTTTGGAAACCCAATTTGCCTAAGGTATTTTAATTATGATTCTAGCATTGTTATTGTTCTTGAAATTCTACTCGTGATCGTGAAAAAAATGCTTAAAAGACACAAAAGGTTTTATTGAAAATGACATAATGCGTTTGTAAAATAAAACTCTGTCTGATGTCAGATACGACTGACTAATTAATTTATTTCAAATTTTATATGTACGTATGTAGGTAATTATTTCGACAAAACTATACGCATATTTTCAACTGTTCTCAAAATGAGGGATTTATCTGCTTAATTCCATAAAGAACATATAAATAAAAAGTCAGCGGCTGGAACTTGACATTACCCTTGAAAATAAAACGAGAAGAATTGAATCGCTCTACAGCTTTGAAAGATTAGTTTTTAAATGTAAATAATTTCAACATCGAAAATTACCAAATTTAAAAGACCAAGCGTTGTAAGGTTCAGATAACATATTTACTCTTGCATTAAAGAAATTTATTATCAGTCTGGTACACAACAATAATAAAAATTATCTGATGATAGTGAAGGTCCAAGAAAACTAGACATCTGCTGTTGGTAGAATGTAAACTATACTAAATACATTAAATGTCTTCTTTCTAAAGCATCGCCATAGATGTACGCTACAAGACAGCAAGCCAATATGAAAATAATCTCATGATATCGAAGTCTTTAAATGTTAAACATTACCAGGAGATCGATAATTGTCTATATTTTATATAATTAATTTTTATGTCTTTCGGAAGCAATAATTGAAATGCTTAATATTTAATAGTTTACAAAAACTTACTTGAGTGTTCCTTTTTCTATAAAGACTTTTTATTACCTGTAAAGAAAAGCAAAAATAATGAATTAATTAAAATTTCAAAAAACCTTCCGGCGAAGCAAAATGACACGAAATTTCTTACCAAATGGTTTGACAAGTCAATTCAGTTTTTTATTAATAAATTATTCCTAAAGATTAATTGCAATATTATGTATTATCAGTTATCACATTTGACATTATGTCATGTAAAGAGAAATCCGGGTGGCCGTGGTAAGCCAATTTTGTTTAATAAAATAACTAAGTATCTCTTATTATTACGTTTCATGGATTGTTTTATTATTAATAAGTGAAATGTTCTATTCAAATTTGAAACGATTTCCATGACTTTTTTAAGCGCCAGTATCCTGTTTACTTTCATCGGCCAGCAATTATCACTTAATTCAGAAAACAACTTCTCGATGTTCCTAGAAATCACTTAGAGATAAATAATTTTGTTGCCATAGACTGAGTAATTTTTTTTTTTTTTTTTAGGAACACTTCTAAATAATTTATTAATTGTCGAAAAGATAATATTTTCTTGAGAAATCGATAAACAAAACCCTCAAAATGAGATAAGCCAGATTTGGGTTTGTCCTAAATTAATTACAAGGACTTTGTTAAAACATCGGACACTTAATCATATTTGGAAAATATATCCTGATCTATATTACTATCATATATACTTCAGCATTATTCAGCATTAATTAGTAATCAGTAAAGTTCGAGCTTGAATACGTATGAAATAAAAAATCGTGACCACGAAATATGTAGATATTAGGTAATTAAAAATGATATGTTGGAATAATATGGAAAGTGATAAATATCAAAAAATGTACACATTAGAAATTCGAATAACAAATTTATAAATAAACCGTAAGAATATCACCACCAATCACAAAAGCGATGCTCTTTCAATAAGTATCAACTTACTATTTAAAAAAATTGGTTATAAATTTTTCCATATTGCCAGTGAACATTCCTTGTTTCGAGTCCTCAAAATCAAAAAACGATTTCAATGACGCTCCAACATTTGCAGATCTCAAAAGAAAACACCCAATTTTTATAGCTGCTATGATTTAGATTTAAAGTATAATTAATTTAATCCATTATTATACCATGACAAATTTGTTTTTTTATTATTTCAACGGTATTACTATTAATCATTGCTAATGTTGTTTATTTTAAGAATTTTTATTTAAAAGCAAAATAAGATCAATGATACAGTTGTTAAGTATTTGTTTATTTGCGTTAAAGGACTGATCATTTGCATTAATATTTATATTATTTGCTGGTAACACATTAAAAACAGTAGCTACTCTATTGTGTTACCTTTTGTTTTTTGAATATGATGTATAGGAATGGTTTTTATATTCAAAAAAACATTATTTTAACAAAGCATGTCATCTTGTCTAGGAAAAGAAAATGTCTGATTATTTATGAAAAACTTAACAATTAAAATTAAAAATTACATGCAGTTAAATGTTTGTATCTAGTTTTTAAATGTGTAAGGTACAAAATGACTCACGAAAAAACGATGAGATAATTTTATCTTAATTTCCGCAAAACTTAAAGAAATGACAGTATTATTAATCATTTTTGAGTCACGATTTCGAACTTTGAAATACGACTTAGTTTCAATGAAATTTTAAATTAGTTTTGATCTTATTAAAGTACAATGGGTAGATAAATATACGCTAGATAAAAAAGTATCCATTAAGATTAACTTTTTTAAAATTGGTTTATAAGCAAAAGAAAAATTGTAGTGATGGTTTTCAGTACAAAAAATGCAATTTCTTTCCTGCAGAACTTAAAATATTTAAATAGGCAAAGATTTTATTTTGCCATCGTGAAAAAAATTCAAAAACTAATTTTCACCAGAAGAGTCAGTCAAAGGATGCTTTTGTAAAATAAAAAAACACTAAAATTTTATTCTGAAAATAAAAACAATAAAAAAATCACAATCTCTTATCTTTTATTTATTTAACACCAATGTTAGTTTTGAAAACATAAACCTAAAGGGATATATATGTGATATTTTTTATTTATTTTTTTATTATTTTTCTATATTTTCAGAGCAATATTTTTGGTGAAGCGTAATCACTTTTGGTACTTTTAGAGCAAGAGTTAATTTAACCAATTATTTATTTTTTCGCAGGTGGTCAAATGTTCAAATAAATATAAATAAAAGGTTTTAAACAAAAGAATGAGGATCTTGGAAAAAAATCAAAAATTGCATTTATGAAGCATCATTTTTGCATCAATATTAATATTACATTTTTTCTTATAAACCACAAAACTTTGTTGAATTTATTTCAAATATGATGAAACTCTTAAAAGAAAAACAAAACTGTTAATTTAAATATAGACACGGCGATCAAACTTGAAAAGCACGAGTGCAAAAATTGACCCAATCACTCATCTGCCGGATAACAAGTCCGCGAACATTAAACACTCAACCCTTAAACCTTAACCTTATCTATTGCCACGAATCCAAAGGTAATATTGCCGCCGTACAGACGGATCGTCATCAGCGAGGTGGGGACCTGGTGCGGCCCCACCGCGGCTATAAAACAGGCTGGTGAAGTCGTCCGACTCCAGTACGCTTAAGCTAGGTCATCAAACGCAGTGTTGTGGCAGTAGCAGACCGATTTACACGCGTGACCCACATTTCAATCTTTCAGTGAACGAATATATTCGCGAAAGTGCCTTAAGACTGACTCAAACACAGACGACAAATAGTCCAAGTGATATTTAGTGTGATACTAGTTTTTTAAGTTCCAAGAAAATGCCAGCCCCAGTTCAGGACGAAATCATCGCAGCAATGGATCAGGAGTGCGTAATTTCACCCTCGAAGCTCATGGAGACTCGCGATAGTATCTCCTCCATAGACAGCGACGTGTCCCTGTCTTTCGACAGAACCACCCAGGTGCCGGAGAACCCTGCAGAGGCCGAAGACGAAGGCGCTCACATGGCCGATCTAAGTGACAGCGCCTCAGACACCGGTTCTGCCGGAGGCGGTAAAGACTCGGGGTGTGAAGTCACCCCAGAGGTCACCGAGCCTCCTTTCACTCCCCCCTCCGACGAATTGGCTGATAAGATCGTGCAACAGGTGGAATTCTACTTTTCCGATGCCAACATCACGAAAGACGCGTTCCTGCTCAAGCACGTGAAGAGGAACAAGGAGGGGTACGTGTCTCTTAAACTCATTTCCAGTTTTAAGAGGGTAAAACATTTGACTAAAGATTGGAGGGTGGTAGCCCACGCTTTATCCCGCTCAACCAAACTTGAAATCAACGAGGCAGGCACTAAACTGAGGAGGCTTGATCCCTTGCCCCAGTACGACGAAACTACCCCTTCGCGCACTGTAGTGGCCGTGCACATGCCCATAGATAAACCTACTATAGAAAATGTGGCGGAACTCTTCAAATCCTGCGGCGAGATCGCCCTTATCCGAATTTTAAGGCCTGGCAACCCCGTGCCGGCTGATGTAAGGCAATTTATCAACAAGAACCCTTCCCTCGCCGGTATGGTATGTGCCTTGGTAGAGTTCGTGAACTCCGAATCGGCTAGAAACGCTATGCAGCTGCAAAGCACTCTGGGCGAGCCCATGAAAGTGTACGAGCTTAACAACGTGCCTCATCCTGAGAAAAAGAAGAAAAATAACAAGAAAGGTTCTAACAATAACAACAATAATCATACTACCAATAAGAACGTCTCATCTGAATCTGATTACATTACATCGTCCTGTCCAAGCGGTTCCGAAGCAGAGGATATGAAGATGAAATTTGATCCTAGAGGTAAGTTTGCGATTCTTTTTTTTAAATATTATTTCATAAGCATTGTAAATTGTGTTCTTCCTTTTAATTGTAATGATTAAATCAGATTTAAATTATTCTGTGACTTGAAAATTACTCTGTAGTTTTAATTCAATTGTAGAAAGCCACTTTTTTAGAATTTTATTATCATATTAAATACAATAAAGTAAACTTTCACTTCTAAAACGCAAACATTTCGTCTTAAACGATTATCAGAATTAGAAATTGTTACGTTAAATTTCTGAATTATATATAGTTTCCTGAAATTTCTAGATTAAAATTGAATTCACGATGTTGGTAATGAACAACGAGGTCATTGAGTTTATAGACCTCGTATATCTACGTTCGATAACCATTCTTTCGAGCAGTGGCGTAACAGTATAGATTTTACAATCAATGTGGTTTATACAATTTATTTAGTAAGAGCAAGCGTTTATTCTCTCTACTTTTAAAATCATTACATTTCTTGCACTTAGAAGTCAATATATAAATTTGACGGTGCCATTCTCGTTCATAGTTGACAGACATAAAGGATTATTGGTAAATGAATAAGAAGTACATGTCCTAAGAAATAAGAACGGGAAGAGCAACTGTTAAATTACTAATTCAGACAAACTTGTTATTCTTTTTTAAAATTTAACTCAAAATGCATTTTAATTTTTTTCATTGTATTACAGGAAAAATGCGTCGTGGTTCTTCCGCACACTTCCCCTCTCGCTTCATCGAGCCCGCCGCCTGGCTGCAGAGGCGGTTGAGCGCTTCCAGCACCGAGGCTAACTTCATCTATATGCCCAGGCGACTCTCCTATGGCAGCAGGGACTCCAGCGACTCGAGCCTGTTTCTGCCGCGAAGGATGAGCGCTTGCAGCGTCTCCAGCACGGACAGCTTCAACAGGAGGATGTCTTCCGCCTCCGATAGCAGCAACCCCAGGTCAAGGAGCAATAGCTCGGCCTTCCAGAACACAGAGAACGTATTGAGAATGCCCCGTGGTCCCGATGGCAGCAAAGGATTCCGACAAAGGATCTCGACTTTAGCCCAATGAACCACCGTAGAATAATTGAATAGGTATTAACTTTGGGCATCCAGCAGCAAACAAATAAGGGGATGTTTAAATTCAAAGTATTAGGGGTTATGCTGAGATTAGATTTTGTTATTTGTTAGAGAGGAGGATTCTATGAAATATGTAGCTATAAAGAACAATGCATTTACGATGGTCGAAACACGAGCGTAAGCAAGAATGTAAATTTAATTTTTAAGATTAATTGACTCGGTTATTATCCGACACGCCGCTTGAACAAGGCGAGCAAGATGATCTTTCTTTATGGTTTATGGTTACATAAATTGGTTCCTACGGTTGCAGTCCATTCTATTGTTAACGGGTTAGGTCATTAAATTACGTTTATTTTAAGTTTTTGGGACAGCACTGGATGCGTTCTGGTTTCATCTTGATTAAAACAAAATAAGTGTAAATATACAGTATTATTTCTTTTTGAATACATTTTGAAAGATTTTTTTTAAATGTGTTAAATTTCTAGATCAAAATTATTTTGTTAGCAAGTTCGATGTTAGCTTCCCTTGGGTCGAACTTTTTTGTTTAAATTAGCAGTGTATGCTATTTCTAGTTAAGATATTTAATATATTTACAACTAAAGCTTTCAAGGCCAATTTTACTACGCAGCAGCGAGCCAAAATCGGCACTTGAAGTACGGCCTACTCGCTGCGAGTAACGGTGACTACGGCATAAATCCTTGAAAGAACGGTTCAATGCTTTTCGCGATACGTTAAATGAATGAAGTGGACTTGAAATCCGATCACATTCAGTACGCGACCCACTTGCCGGTCGTACTTTCACCGAAAGTCGGTTGACGCTGGAAAAAATGAAAGAATATTTAGAAACCTCCTCGTTAGAACGAAGGCAGTCCGTCACGCTTTTTAATCTATATATATATACAAAAGATAAAGCAAAGGTTGCGGGCTAAGGGAAAGGTTAGTTTGGTGCTATAAGAGATAGGGGATAAATTATTAAGTTACCCTCACACAATAATTTTTCATATATATTAATTTCTCTAGACCTCTAAGAAATCTCAGTTCATTTCTTTTGCACATTTTACGCTAGATTTTGATCAACTAAATGCATTGGGAAATATGGTATCATTTATACAATTTATTTTTAAAAATTCATCTACCTGGAAGGCCTCAAAAAATGTCAATAAACTGTTGAAAGATGTTAAAATGTTCCATTCTAGAAAACCAACATCTGCGATCTGCGGCCGTATTCCAGCATTCTTTGAGGCGTGCGGTGTATATAAATGTATTTTGTACTTTTGCAGCTTTCTTCGTTAATTTACAGTCCATTAACAGCTGCATAATTATTTACTTTCTAATCCACACACAATCCACCTAATTATAAGCGCTAACGGTCAGCTTTTTCTTCGTCGGTATAAGTTATACATATTAATAACCAATAGCATGTAATTCTCGTCGTTAGGTACACCGTTTCGTTTTAGAAACGACTCTGTAATTTATACTATAACGACTAGATTGTTTACAGTGAAAAACAATCACCGTCGCACTTAATTTATTACTTTTCCACGGCTACCTTAATTTTAAGTTTGAAAAATCATGATTGTAATCGTGTAAGTGTAAGGAAACCTTGAAATTGACTCATTATGCATTTGTCTCAGCTTATGTAAGGATTCCTTATGCTCGTCTTTGTATTTGAGATGAAACTCTCCCTTCATATTAAGTATGTATATTTGGTCTGTACATATATGTTAATTATATTTATTATTTCTTATTTATTTGAATTTGTCTATATGATTTATTATAGAAATAGATGTTGTGTTTCAATCGATCACTGACCATATTTTATTTACCTTTCCCCTTTATATTTTACTACTTTAAACAATAACATTATACCTAGTTTTTCATTTGGTTGAACCTACAGACATAACAATGTTATTCTTCTTATTAATTTTTAATAATTTTGTGATAAATACATATGAAATTTTATCAATTCACAATAAGTAAAATTAACAAATAATTATAATAGTCGGTATAACACAATATGATTATGCTACAACTATCAAGATGAACTAAAAATAGATTACCCCTATTATACTGTAAAAAATGTATGTCTAATCAAATACTCGGTTAGGACTTCTGTTTAGTAGCTATATCGTCAACCGATTTAAATCCATTTAATAATTTGCATGCTTTGCAGTTTGCATTTGTAAAAAAAAGCTATTGTTCTACGCAGAAAGTCGACTGGCAGATGTTTCAAAGGTAGCAAATAGCGCTTGCGCAACATAGATAGCATTTCTCTTTCCCGTTCAAGCGAGTCGGCAATGCCAAACGTTGAACTTGAATGTCTAGAATGAAAGTCAAGAATGAAGAACGGTGGTTACGCTTCGGTGACCCCTAGGTAGGCATCAGTGGCGTAGACTGACAACCAACAGCTTACTTTACCCCTTTACAAAAGTTTAGGTTAGTAATAAACCACAAGCCCGCATCGAACTGCATAAAGACTTATTTTATAAATCATTATTTCTCCAGTAGGAATTAGAAAAAGGAAATACAGGGTGTCCCGAAATGCATGCAACAAAATTTGGTCATAGATTCTTAAGACAAATTTAGGGTATTTTTTCTTTTTGCCAACTGGCCCCCTCTTTCGGAGTTACAGCCCCCTGAAATCTGCCCCTAAGAAGTCTTTTTTATATCTCAAAACCATGTTGTACGAGAATAATTAAATCTGGTACATAGGGGTTTTATGACATGTGGAATCGCACAGTGCTACGCTTTTTGGCGAGAAACCTCCCTTAAGACACTTTTTCGTGGGCCCCCTTGTCTTTGGAACCAGAAAAATTTGGTCGCAAATTTGATTTGTTTAAAAATTATTAGTTAGCTAGAAAGCCATTGAATTTAGAAACTTTTTTGTCTATTGATATTTGTTTCGTAAAACGCAATGTTTTTGAGGAAAATATGCATTCGATCACATTTTGACATTTTTCTCGAAAACTTTACGTTTTACGAAATTTCGTATTATTCATGATTATACACTGTATACAACTCAGCAAATTATTCTTTACAACATTCCCCTGAATGCAACGCAACGATGACTGGAAAATGGGGAATTGTTGTTTATAAATAAGTTATTCCTATAANTAAACCACAAGCCTGCATCGAACTGCATAAAGACTTATTTTATAAATCATTATTTCTCCAGTAGGAATTAGAAAAAGGAAATACAGGGTGTCCCGAAATTCATGCAACAAAATTTGGTCATAGATTCTTAAGACAAATTTAGAGGACCCGTATTTTTTCTTTTTGCCAACTGGCCCCCTCTTTCGGAGTTACAGCCCCCTGAAATCTGCCCCTAAGAAGTCTTTTTTATATCTCAAAACCGTGTTGTACGAGAATCATTAAATCTGGGGTTTTATGACATGTGGAATCTCACAGTGCTACGCTTTTTGGCGAGAAACCCCCCTTAAGACACTTTTTCGTGGGCCCCCTTGTCTTTGGAACCAGACAAATTTGGTCGCAAATTTGATTTGTTTAAAAAATATTAGTTAGCTAGAAAGCTATTGAATTTAGAAACTTTTTTGTCTATTGATATTTGTTTCGTAAAACGCAATGTTTTTGAGAAAAATGGCGAATCACGATATGCCTTCGATCACATTTTGACATTTTTCTCGGAAACAAAAAAGTTTCTAAATTTAATAGCTTTCTAGTGGACTGATAGTTTTTGATAAGAAATTTAAATATGCGACTAAATTTTTTTGGTTCCAAAGACAAGGGGGCCCACGAAAAATTGTCTTAAGGGGGCTCCCCGCCAAAAACCGTAGCCCCATCAGATTCTACGTGTCATAAAACCCTTGTGTACCAAATTTAGTCATTCTCGTACAACAGGGCTCTGAGATATAAAAAAAAGATTATTCTTAGGGACGGACTTCAGGGGGCTGTAACTCCGAAAGAGGGGGCCACTTGGCAAAAGTAAAAAATATGGGTCCTCTAAATTTGTCTTAAGAATCTGTGACCAAATTTTGTTTCATGAATTTCGGAACACCCTGTATATGTACTAGGTATAATAGGTAACTTTAATTCAGCCTAGATAGATTATGTGCTCAAAGGGATAAAAATCCAAATCCCATATGATTCAGGATGCTTTATAGTGAGAGAAGAAAAATTTATTCGAAATACAAGCGGCTTTACTTAATTTAGGAATCGATACATTTATTAAAAATAATTGTGATAGTTTTTGAGTCGTATTTGTTGTACATACATATATGGATCGTCGTAGTGTCATTATCAAAAATAGAAATTTTAATATACTAAATAGGTAATGACTCAAGATGTGCCGCGACAATTGCACCGTTGTGGCTTATTATTATAGGTAATTGACTAATTCTGATAGGTCAGAAGATTTATAGGTAATATTTTTTGCTCTTACATCATAAAAATTATGATACAGGGTGTATCATGATTTTTATACTGTAATGGCAGTGTGAAACAGCTCTTAAGAACTCCTCGTAAAAAGAAAAGAAGTTCAAAATGTGTGTATCTAGTTATATCTATACGATGCGACTTTTAAATGTTTGTTAAAACTTATTTGGCTATATCTAGCTTTAGTTGTGGTTCTTGTGAGAATTCATTTATTTTATTTATATTTGGTATACCTGCATGACTAGATATATGGATTATAATTATAGCTTTTCTATCTAAAAAAATGTTTGTTTTTTTAAAAATAACATTCTATTATTAACTTTCACATGTTGTTACTCTTGCTAAAGCTAATTCAAACAAATCAAAAAATATATATTTTTAAAAATCTTATCTAATGAAGTCAAAGAATATTTCCTATAAATCTATAAAATTTAAAAAAGGACTTTTTTAACCATTATTTCGTATTATTCATGATTATACACTGTATACAACTCAGCAAATTATTCTTTACAACATTCCCCTGAAGGCAACACAACGATGACTGGAAAATGGGGAATTGTTGTTTATAAATAAGTTATTCCTATAAGTTTTAATACGTATTTAGATAATATTNATTTCGTATTATTCATGATTATACACTGTATACAACTCAGCAAATTATTCTTTACAACATTCCCCTGAAGGCAACACAACGATGACTGGAAAATGGGGAATTGTTGTTTATAAATAAGTTATTCCTATAAGTTTTAATACGTATTTAGATAATATTTGCTATTAAATGCTAAATTAATTAGTTATAAAAAAAAATTTACCGATGTAACTTATGCAACTTGCACCAGAGTTTTTACTAGTACATTTTTCTAATTCTATAAATCCTATTATGTGCAATTAAAAAATATATTCTTACACTTACGCCACTGACTTTGATCTCCGGTGAAAGTAACAAATTTAAATAAGTATAATGAGTTCAATTTAAATTCAGCATGCACTAATATTTTGTTTCAAAACAACGCGTTTTCTCCAATTTTTACGTGTTTCAAATGGAAGGGAAGGTCACAGTGAAAATAATCCATTCAGTCAGCCAATGAAGTTTTAATAAAAATTATCCCACCTATAAGCCAGTGCGTGGAAGTTTCATAAGTGTACGTAAAACAGCATCGAGAGATACCTACTTTAGATAGTTTTTTTTTCTAATTTCAACACCATGTTTCTCGAAAACGTCTCGAACTACCACCCACATTCATATGAACTTTTTGTAAATTTTAGATTAAATTAATTATTTTCCTTTGTTACTTTTTCATTCAAGCAAATATTGTGCGCAGTGGATAAGAAGTTATAATAATAAATATATTTTAATAAAAGGTATATTATAACTCGACGATATTGATGATAATTTCACATATTTTTTAAAAATGTTTTCTTGAAAATATATTACCTTTAATATTTTATGCATATTTTCATATTGGTAATATAACATTCGAAATTAAAGTGAACCCAGCAAACACAAGAATTATTAAAGTTATTGATGGCTGTATTTATGACCATTTATGTACCAACAATCGTGTTTAAAAAACCCTAATATTGTAAACTTCTAATAAGTAATAACGTCCAAGTCAAAACAACTGTGATGTATCTGGGCTGCCTGCAAGTTCACATTTTTTTATTTGTCACAATTTCCACAAAAGCAGGATGACATACCAAATTAATTTACAAACAGGATTTGTTTAAAAAAAATTATTGTGGTCACTTCAGGATATGCAACCAGATAAACGGATTATATGGAATTTGTGTTGTATTGTTTGTATCGACATCTAAAATCAATTTAAATTTTTTCTAAAAAAATTACGTGACTTAATATAATTTAAACAAATTTTCTTTTATGTTTTTATTTACAGACAAAATGGTTACTACACTATTCTATTTATTAACAAAATTTACACATTTAATGGTGTGGAACATATGCAGATTTTCCGTACTTTTTCTCCCACATTTTAACAAACTCTTTCTTTCTTTGTTCACGACGAGCAAAGTAATCAGGGTACTGTGCCTTCTCTAAGGGGTGCCAGTGATCAAGCACCCAGTCTGGTGGAATCACTTCTCTACCATAGGCAACTCCTCCCGGTGATTCTGGGACTAGAAAATTTATTTATTATTAGACACATCTGTGTACAATGGAAATTATTTGTTTATAAAAAATTTTTGCATTTGTATAATTAAAAACATATCCATAAAATAGTAAGTACCTATTAGTCCAAACATTATAGAGAAATGCTTACAGAAATTATTACCTGGACAAAAAAAATATGACCGTATAGAAAATTAAATTTTAAATTGAGTTTCTTGTTCTTTAAACTCGATCCAATATGGCGAACATGGTTAAAAAAAATCGCAAAGTTGAAAAAAACGGTTTTTCAAANAACCCAGCAAACACAAGAATTATTAAAGTTATTGATGGCTGTATTTATGACCATTTATGTACCAACAATCGTGTTTAAAAAACCCTAATATTGTAAACTTCTAATAAGTAATAACGTCCAAGTCAAAACAACTGTGATGTATCTGGGCTGCCTGCAAGTTCACATTTTTTTATTTGTCACAATTTCCACAAAAGCAGGATGACATACCAAATTAATTTACAAACAGGATTTGTTTAAAAAAAAAATTATTGTGGTCACTTCAGGATATGCAACCAGATAAACGGATTATATGGAATTTGTGTTGTATTGTTTATATCGACATCTAAAATCAATTTAAATTTTTTCTAAAAAAATTACGTGACAATACAATTTAAACAAATTTTCTTTTATGTTTTTATTTACAGACAAAATGGTTACTACACTATTCTATTTATTAACAAAATTTACACATTTAATGGTGTGGAACATATGCAGATTTTCCGTACTTTTTCTCCCACATTTTAACAAACTCTTTCTTTCTTTGTTCACGACGAGCAAAGTAATCAGGGTACTGTGCCTTCTCTAAGGGGTGCCAGTGATCAAGCACCCAGTCTGGTGGAATCACTTCTCTACCATAGGCAACTCCTCCCGGTGATTCTGGGACTAGAAAATTTATTTATTATTAGACACATCTGTGTACAATGGAAATTATTTGTTTATAAAAAATTTTTGCATTTGTATAATTAAAAACATATCCATAAAATAGTAAGTACCTATATAGATTTGGTATATCTCTTCACCTAAAATTTTATACTAACATTTGAACTTGAATGAGCAGAAACATGTGTATCTTCATAAAATAAATACTTACGTAGAAAAAATATAGACTTATGTAAATTTCAACTCACATTTTCTTGGGTGCCAATGTTGATTATCGAACAATTCTTCTTCCCCTTTACGGATAAACTCTTTGGCAACTCTCTGATCTTGAATACATTTATTCTCGTCAAACCGTTGTCTCATAAGCACAGCGTGATATCTGTAGACATCTCTACAAGAAAATTAAATTACATAATCTAACCTCAAACTACTGTTATTTTTTTTAACTACCTCCTATCGTACCAGCTCTCTAGCAAGCGAAGGGCTCTTTTGTACAAACTTTGGACTTTTCTAGTATGAGAAATGAGTCCTGTAGGCAAATTCGTTGCCATTTTATTACAATATTATGATTTTAAAGGTCATTAAATACTAAATTGCTGCTTGACAGTTTGATCATAAACTAGACCAGACGGCAAACGTCACTCTTCACTTTCCTACATTTGACAGATTTGTGATTTGATATGGAAACGCGTCGGTAGGTGCGCTAATGATTTAAACCCTTGCAATTGAATGCAATTCACTCAGTTGATGATGTTCTGTAATTTAATCAATATGAGTCGATCACAAAAAAAAAACAAGTTACATGTGCAATGTGGAAAAATCAGAGATATAGAGTGGGGAGAATGCTCTTACAACCTGCGCGAGCGACTAATAACGATGGTCGCCATTTTGATCATGGTTGCCAATACAGATAAATTTTAGGGAAATTTAAATAGGAACAGGGAGAGGCAAATTTAAAATGCAATACCAAAAATAAAGATTCAAATTATATGAGCAATATTTTTTATTTTAATAGGTTTTTTTCAGAAATTGGTAAATATCTAAAAAAAATTCTATTTTGAAATATAAAGATAAACTAACGAGCGTTCAAACAAAAACGTGGTCGCGCCGCGCTCGCGCGTGCCATTATTCCATGGCTAGAAATTGGCCTCAATGATTTGGGATCGAGGGGGATTATCCCTCTTTATCCTGCCTCATCTCGTGTAGGCCTGGACAGCCTTCGTAGGTGGGCCCCATCCGTCGTCTACCCCGACCGCAAATGCGGCCGGTGTAGGCGCTTTGTGGGACCTCCTTTTGTCCTGGCTGGGCCCCGCCGGCTAGGGCCCTTTCTTCTGGCGCTCTTCTTGCTTCGCCGGCTCGTCTGTGTAAACCCCGGGGGTAGTGTCATGTTTATGTGT